AGCCAGGAGGGCCAGGACAAGAGGCCGGGCATGGATTCAGCCCAAGGGGGGGGTCATCCCAGGGCAGGTGGGCGGACAGCATTGCAGCTCCCCCAAAAGGCAACCCCCCCCCTAGGATGTCAGCTGGAGGGCATCCAGAGAAACCCCCCCCCACTCCAGGTGGGGGCTGGGTCAGGTGAAGCTGCTCCTGTCCTGCAGGGTCTCCCTCCAAGCGACTGGGCCTCCCTGCAGCTTCTCCTTCCGCCTGGCTCTTGTCCTCGGAGGGGGCACGGACGATGACAGGGGCTCCTCTCCGCCCCACTCCTGCCCCCTTAAGCCCCCCCCAGTTCCCTCCTCCACGGGAGACCCCTCCTGCTGCTGCTGCCCTGCCTGCAGGCGACCCTCCATTGACAGCCACAATTGGCACCAGGGTTTTGTGGGTGGTCCTGAGTGACTGGACCTCTTGACCGTTTTATGGCCGTCGTTAAGTGATTCCGTTCTCCTGAATGGGGGCTTTTTGCAGAAAAGGAGCCACGGCTTACTCCGCTTGCCAAGCGACTGGGGGGGACGGGGGGGGGGGGGACAAGGGCGGCTGAAAGCGCTTCACAGGCCATAAAGCACTCCCTCCCCGGCCTGGGGTCATTAAAGGACAGGTCATAATCCGAGGACTCAGGGTGTCCTCCTGGGAGCCTTCTCTACTTTCTCCAAATTCCTAGACCAGACCCGGAGCAATGCAAGTCGGAGGAAGCCGCCCGACTGCTGGAGAGGACACAGCTCCCACCTGCTGCAGGGGCCTCACCCACATCGCCCCAAGATCTCCTCCTCTCCGTGTCCTCTTGCCCCCCCCCCTCCCCCTCCCTTCCCAGGTGAGCAAACAGCTGCCCCGAATGCCTGGGCGAGGGGAGGGAGACCCTGGGGCCAAACCCCCTGGAGACCCCAAACACAGGGCAGCAGCGGCGGCAGCAGCAGCACCACTAAGCAGCTTCCGGAGACCGTTCCCCTCCGACCCTCCTCTAGAGGGGAGCTGCCCTTGATCCCCCTCCCAGAGCCCCAGGGATGACGGGAGGGCTGTGCAGAGGAGGGAAGGAGACACCCCGAGCCACACAGGGTCCTTCCTGGCCTCACCGAACAAAACCTTCCTCCTCCTGCCCTTCTCTCCAGGAGGCCCCCCAGAGCCCCAGCACCAAGGCACCCCAAAAGCTGGGCAAGCCGTTCTCACGTCAGGGGGTCCGACCCCGGTCCAGCAACGGTGCCCCTTCTGCCCTGGTCATGTGGCACCTGCCTGCTTCTCTCAGGCTGCCCAGCTGAGTTAGGGGCCGAATTCAGGGCACCACCACCCACCCACCAACTCCAGGGACCTACAACCCCCACCCCCCCTCGCCATCCCCTTTGGACTTAGGTCGGGTTTCCCTCGAGGGGAGGGGGCTCTCCTGGCAAAAGCCACTCCAGAGCCCCCTTTGCAGCACACTGGGAAAGGGGGGGCTCCCGGAGGCTGCCTGCAAATGCCCCCACCATAATACGGGGAGAGCCAGCTGAGAAATAGGGGTGCCAGCTGGGCATCCATCATCAACCAGCGTCCCCTTCGGAAGCCCCTGCAGAGCAGCCTGAGAGGTGGGAGGGGCGGCCGGTCCCCCTCCTCTTCCTCCACTTTACGACTTGGGTGGGATCTTAGAGGGCATCGAGTCCAACCCCCTACTCACTCCTGTTATCTAACAAACCCTCAAGCTCCCAGCAGGGGGAGGAGGTGGGTGCACTGCTCAACAATTCTTACCAGAAGGAAATTCTTCCCAACGTCCCACCTGAGCCGTGGTGGCACAGTGGTTAGAGCGCAGTACTGCAGGCTAATTCTGCTGCTTGCCGGCTGCCTACAACTGAGCAGCTCAAATCTCGCCAGGCTCCGCGTTAACTCGGCCTTCCGTCCTTCCCAGGGGGGGTCAAATGAGGAGCCAGATGGTTGGGGGGTAAAACGCTCAGAGAGGGCTGGGAGGCCCTGGGAAGCAGCTCATAAGCCTGAGGGCGATGGCTGAAGGGAGGCCCTCCCGGACTCCACAGGCACCCGAAGGCCACCCTAGAGCCCCCACCCCCACCCCCACCCTTCGGCTTGCTCCACAGCCTCCCCTGGAGGCCTCTCTGGCCAGGGGACATTCCCTCCCCCGGGGCGCAAGGCTTCTGTTTGCACAGCCCAAGCCTGGAGCAGCCTGGGGAGGCGCCCCCCCCCCACTCCCTCCCCATGTATGGAGATTGGCTCAGGGTGTTTGTCTTGGGTGGGAGGCAGCCCTCCTCTGCAGGCTTCTTCCAATTCAGCTAACCCCCTCCCACCCCAGGAGGAGAGAGAGAGAGAGAGAGAGAGAGGGAGAGAGAGGCTCCTTCCAGCTGGGGAGGCTGGATCCAAAAGGGGGGCCAGGCCCAGGAAAGCCCCCTGAAGCAGAGCAGCCCCCTCCCCAACCGGTTCCCATAGCAACAGAACCTAAATACAGCTCCCCACAGGCCTGGGGAGGCCTTCTCCCCCCTCCCAGAGGTTGGTGTGCCCCCCCCCCCCCGAACGTCTCCATGTCCAAAATTAGCTCAGCTTCACAAAAGCCACGGCGGTGGCAACACCCTCACTGCCCTGATGACGGAGCCATGCCGGATAGTTATATTTAACCACTGATCCCTGCTAAACCACCACTTTGGAGAGTCCATGAGCCCCGCGGGGGCGGGGGGGGGGGGAGGCTGCTTCCACCATGGTCTTAGGAGGCAGCCTGCCTCCATCAGGGGCCCCAGATACCTGCCGGAGCTGACAGGGCCAGGCAAGAGCAGAAGATCAGAATAAGGGCTGGGAGGGAGCGCGGAGGTCTTCTGGTCCAACCCTGGGCCATTTCAGGCCAATGGCTGTCCAGTCTCCGGCCAAGGAGGGGCCAGGGCAAACCGCAGAGGGCCTGAAATTCAGCCCAGCAGCCACACACCAGAACGGGGGGTCCGCGATCAAAGCCCACCAGTCCAACCTGCTCTCCCCTGTCCTGCCAAGCCAGCTGCCCAACCGGCAGGAGAGGCTTGGCCCTCCAGGAGCCTCTCTGGTCTCCCTGGGGGCTGCTGGACCCTGGGGGGGCCCTGCCTGGGTGCCCTGAACTCTGCCGCCTCGCAGGGACACCACCATTCCCTTCCAAGCATCCCTGCCCCCCAGCCCCCCCCCCCCCCCAGGAAGGGAAGGATGCGGGAGGAAGTCCTCCCCAGAATCCCATAATGGCAGAATCCAATTACAGAGGCAAAGCCAATTCGTAGCTCTCCCCATTCGCTCTAATTGTGTAATTAAATTAAAGGCTGGCCAGGAACCCCATTACACGGAGCCAGCAGCCTCCCCATCCCATCCCGGGACCCCCTGCAGGCCCCCCGGGGCTCCTGCACTCAGCCCGTCCCCACGTGAGCCTTTCCCCCACGTGTGGCATCTCCCCCCCCCGGCCCCCCCGAGGGTGTGGGAGTTTTAGCACATTAACATTTTTAAATATCAGAGTCCCATTTTCTTGTCTTGTGCAGCTGACTTTAGGATGAGTTAATTATAAATAAGATTGCAAGTCGAGGTATCTCCGTAACACGCATAGGCGGCACGAAGGAGCTCGTGGGCTCCCCGGCTCTGTGCACAGCCCAGGCGCCTCCTCCGTTGCCTCCATCTGGCCCCTGCCTTTGCCAAGAGGAAGGGGGGGCACCGGGGGAGGAGGAGACGGCATCACCCCTATGCCGGGGGAGGGGAAGGGGGGGAAGCTTCCGGCAAAGCTCCTGCATGGGGAGGGGGCCGTGTGGGAGCGGGCTGGTGGGCCACATCCAAGGACCAGGAGCAGCCCCACCCTGGAGAAGAGGCCCCACAGAGCGCCTGAGCCCCAGCAGCCCTGCAGAAGGGAGGGGGGGTAGCAGGTGTGCCAGTGTGGGGGACTGGCAGTAGCACCCCCACCATCAAATGGATGCCCCTCCCCACCCCCACTGGGGCTCAAATGCTGAGTTTTTCAACCAGGCGGAGGGGGGCCTGGGGCCGGGAGCTGACCCACCTGCCTCCGATCTGGGCTTGCCCAGCCATCAGCCCCAGGCAGGCAGGGAGTGGGTGGGTGGGCTATCCAGGGAAGCAGCCCCAAGATCTGGGAAGGGATTCTGGACAGCCACCGCAGCATAAAATGGCAGCTGGTGCAGGGACCCCTGTGGTGGGGCAGAGAGAGGACGCTTCAGGCTTTCCGGCCGGTTGCTGGGGCTGCCCAATGGCCCCTCCCCAAAGGCCCTGGGCGCAGACTCTGCCCCTCCCCAGGGAGATGCCAGCAGACCTTGGGCACCAAGGAGTGGAGGCTGCCATCCTGCCACGCCTGCCCTCTGCCCAGAATGCCTTCCTGGTGCCATCCGGCCGCTTAGAGCTGCATGGCCTCCCTGCCCCTCCCCCCCTGGGGGGTCTGGAGGAGAGGAAGCCCAGGGCCCGTCCCTCTGGCCCCCCCCCGGAGTGAGCCCACTTTCCCCATAAGCGAGCTGCTCCTCCTCCCTTCCCGATAACTGGCAGCCATGGAGTGCAGAGCCCCCTGAGGGGGGAGGCCTTGGTTCTCCTGGCAAAGCTGCTCTGACGGAGGCCGGGTGAGTCAGCCAGCGGAAGGAGCGCCAACTTCACAGCGCCAGGAGTGGAGGAGCCGTGTCTGGCGCAGGCCGTTCATGGGCTCCATGCCAAGGAGGCAGAGCAGCAGGAAACCCCAACTATTTTGAGGGGAGAACCCCTCTCTTCCTTGGAGATCCTCTCTGCACCTGGGCCGGTGCCGGAGGTGGAACCCCACGCACCCCTTCCCCGCCTCCCAACCGACGGACCCTCCCCTTTTGCAGGGAGCCCTCCTGGGGGGAGCAGGTGTGTGCCCCGAGCCCTTGGGGGGCCCCACCTGGCAGCCCATCGTCCTGAGCCCTGAAGCAGAATTCACACACACCCCTGTGGGAGTTTCCCCCCCCCCCAGCTGCTCCTGCCCAGTTGCTCTTTGGCTCTTCCCCACTGTGGCTGCCCCACTGCCCCCCCCCCCCTTACTCACCTGCCAGCAAGAAGGTGATCAGGCAGGTCTCCTTGGGCAGGTAGAGCTTCAGGCGGGAGCCGCTGAAGACGTATTCCACCACGGCCTCCGAGCGGCCGGCCCGTTGCAGGAAGGGCAGGAACTGCTTGGCCTTCTGGGTGTCCTGGGGGGGGGGGGGGGGGGAGAAGCCGGTGAAGGGGGGGGCCGCCTGACCCTCGGAGTGCTGATGATGGGCTTCCCCTCCTCCTAGAGCAAGAGGGGGGGGCTTGTCCTTCTTCCCTCCCGGCAATGGCCTTGGGAGAGGCTTCCCCCACTCCGGGGCTCTGGGGCCAGCAGCTGCTCCCTGGCACGGATGCCCTGGGGGGGGGGAAGCGGCTCTGCTTCCCGCTTAGCCCGAGAGAGCAGAGGAGGAGGGTCTCTGCTGCCACCGGCCAGGCCCCTCTTCCTGCTCTGGGTGGGGGGGTGTCAGGAGAGCCGCTTCCCCACAGAGTCCATCAGCCTCTCGGCCTCTGAAGGCCTCAGCTGCAGGAACAGGTCAGGGGCTTCTCACCAGATGCCTCCCTGATGCCCGAAATGAGATCACTGCCGCCAGAGGTGGCTCCCAAGGGCTTAGCTGGCACGGAGGCCCTCATCCCACGGGCACACGGGGGCCGCCTCCAAGGCAGGCAAGGTTGGGGAGGGGGCTGTTCTGCCAACCCTGCGTCCGGGGAGGGGGGGCTTGGAAGCAGCCCGCCTAGAGGCTCCGTGCCAGCCGAGACCAGGCTCCCTTTTGAGGGAGGTTGGTCAGCCGGACCCCGGCACCGGCCGCTTACCTGCCAGGCCAGTCCCAGGCCCGGTCAGGGGCCCTTCCCACTCGGGACCAGGCCTTGGGCGACTGCGTCCGTTCTGGCCAAGGAAGGTCCCTTCTCTCCACCCACCCCCTGGCCTTGGCAAGCAGGGAAGGGGGGGGGCGGCCATCCTTTGACGCCCAGGGGCAGCCAGATTCCCTTAGGGAGATTGGGGGGGGGGAGAGGGAGGGAGGGAGGGAGGGAAGCAGGAAGATTCCTCCCCACCAAGGAGTGCTGGGGGACAGCCGGAAAGGGAGCCTGGCCAGGCAGCTGCATCACCCACCAGGGGCCCGGAGGGAAAGGGAGGAAGCCACTTCCGCCAGAGCCGGCTGAGCTCCTCCCCCTGCCACACGCCCTGGCAAAGCGGCCATCGGCACCCCAGGGACACTGCCAGAGTCCTGCCAAGAGCGGGAGGGAGGGGCCCCTGGGACGAGGCCAGAGGCCGCTGCTCCCACTGAGCCGCTCAGCCAGGCCAGCAAGACAACGGCTGCCCCCCTCTGGCAAGGGGCCGAGACACGGACACCAGGGGGGGGAGGGGGCAACCGGCGCAGGCCTGCCAGTCCTTCCGTTCCCAGGATGAGGCCGTGGAGGGAAAGGAGGAGACCCCACGCCAGGCGGCTGGGCCCAAAGGGGGCTGCTTACCCCGGAGATGTCGGCCACTCGGTGGATGGGCACCTCCTTCTTGCTGTGCAAGCCTTTGCCGTTCTTGACCGCCCTGTTGGGGGGCAAGGGAGGGTCAGCCACAGCCAGGAACCGCCCTGCCCCCTCCCTCCCAGCCCCCCTGCGTGGGCTCTGGGGACCTACAGAGCCACGGTGCCTCCGGGGGCACAAAAGGGGGCAGGTTTTGTGGGGGGCAGAAGGGATCAGCTGGGGGGCCTCTGAAGGCTCTGACGTCTGGAGGGGGAGGCAGGCTGAAGGCCCCTGCCTGGCAAGAACTCTGGAGGGAGGCAGGGACAGAGTCCTGCCAAGAGCGGGCGGGGTGGGCAGAAGACCCCTGTGAGACCCACCCACCCACCAAGGTCAAGAAGAGCCACCTGCTTCCAGGACCCAGAGCTTGGCCCACCCCCCAACCCTGCAACTGTTCCCCCCTCTAGACACATTGGAAGACCAGCAAGGCTTCCGTTGAGGCCCCTCCCAAGCTGAGGGGGCAGAAGGACCGTGGAGCCCCCAAAACCGGCTGCCTGAGGGAGGCTCCTGGCATCTTTCTTCCCAAAGGTTGGGGGGGGGGGAGGCACCATCGAATCTTTGGAGACCCCCAGACAGTCCTGATTTCCAGCAGAGGGGGTGGGAAGAAGCTGCTGGGGGAGGGGTTCCCTTCTTTCCCTTGACCCCCAACCCTGCCCCACTGGCCACTTCCCTCCACCCTCCGTGCTTGTCCTGGGTGAGCCTGGGCCCCTGACCACAAGGAAGGGCCCCCCTGCCCTCTGACATGGGCACCTGGTGAAAGGGCCCCCTCCGTCCCTCCCGATGGCAGCATGCCCCCCCCCCAAGCCCCCGAGCCCTAGAGCTCACCGGGCCTCAGCAGCCAGCAGCTCGTCATAGTGGGAGGAGCGCTGGTCATCGTCCTGGCGGTAGCGGATGACGGTGGCCAGCCCCTTGCTGACCAGCGCTTCGGCAATGTTGCTGCAAGAGAGGGAGATGAGCAGTCAGCCAGAGAGAGAGGCAGGTGGGCAGCCGGGCGCTCCTGAGCCCAGGAGAGAAGCCAAGGCCTGTCACCCCTTTGCCCCTTCACCGGAAGGAGGCCCGGTGCAGCCAGCAGCTTCCTCACACACAAGGGAGGGAGAAGGCAGCCAGCAGGGCTGCTCAGGGGATGGGGGTGGCTGGCCACGGCCCGGGGCCTGATGAGGCATCCCTCGGTTGTTGAAGCGAAGGCCGGGGGAAGCCAGGTCTGCTCAGCTGAGACCTTCTGCCTGGCCCCCCCCTCTGTTCCTACCGGCTGCCCTCCAGGCCCACCGTCCCCGACACTCACATGCCGCCAATGGTGACTGTGGCACAGGTGCGCTCTGAGAAGGCGGGAACCGTGTCGGTGGCCCCACTGGCCGGCCGGATGTAGTCCACCGTGACGTTCACCTAGGGGGAAGACAGGGGGGCCTCAGGGTGGGAGGACGGCCAGCAAAGAGCCGCTGGGCTCAGCAGGAGGCCCTTGCCCGCCCTGAAGCTGCCCCTGCTGAGAATCCCTAACCCACCCAGAGGGGAGAAGAGGCTCTTGCCCACCGGAGCGGGGGGGTGGGGAGGGGGCTCTGATCCTGCCTGGCTACAATGGGGGACCCAGAGCGATGCCTTCCCAGGGCAAAGAGACCGTTCAGTCTCACTCAGGGGAGAAGCAGGCGAGGCTGCTGTGCCTCCATCCGGCCCAGGAGAATTCCACACAGGACAGGCTGGTCGTCCCCCCCCCGCCCCCCTCGCAGCAGCCCTGCCTCCCAGCCCAGCCCTCTTCTTCAGCATCGCCTGGG